ATGCCGTAGTTGAGAGACTTCTATGCCGGTTGTGTATGTAGTTTTCGAGTAAAAACAACAATAAAATATTTCACAGTTTGAACGGCTTATTTTCATTATTTTTTTGCGTTTGTTTATTCATCTAAGTGAACACGATTCATTCGTCGTTATTTATGAAGGAATATTTTTTTCGTTGTATTGATGAGTTCGTGTCCAACTGAACTTCATCCAGATTGTGTGTTGTATTCGTTGATAGAATGGCGATGGTTCAATTTTATTTTTTTCATTTTTGAAACGAAATCGGTAGGATAATGGTGATACATTTACGATTATTACAATTACAATAGAATGTTTTTTTACATGTTTAAAAAAAATTAATTGTATCGTTGAAAACTTTTCACGATCGTTTCAAGATTGGTTTTCCCGTCGCACTTAAATGTTACAACACGAAACAATAATTGTAGTGCTAATTGCACAATAAAGTGTAATTTGAATCGAGGGTCGAAGATAGGGCCGTATTAAAACGAAATGATTTGTACCTATGTAAGTATATGCTAGAGCAATTTTTAATTGCTTCAGAGAGGATGACTCGAAGTGATGTGAAGAAGCGACTCGTGAAGAAAGCGAGTAAAATGCCGAATCCAATTGAGAGCCTTAAATGTGAATATCCCACCGAAACACTATCAGGGTACTTCAAATTGTTTGCTTGCATACATTCAGTCATCTTCTTTAATTGTCAAGTCAAAGCACAGTTGCATTCATTTTCCGAACATTGTTTCTCGTTTCCCCAAGAATGATTATGTCATTATAATATATTGGAAATTTCAAGCTTGAGTTTGGAATTTTAAGATTTTTCCACTTTGCAGTGAGCCGTTATCGTTTTCATTTATGTGGGGAACACATTTGGATGAGAAACTTTTCGAGTGGATTTTCAATTTGTTTGTGGTGAATATGCGTGCGTTTTATGAGCTCTCACAATGGGGCTATGATGAGCAGAGCAAAAAGCAGGAACTCTCATCGACAACGTCGAGGTTTAACTTTGTTTTGTACGAATTTTTGAAGAGTCCTATCATTTTTTATTACAGTCGCATACTTTTTTCATCGTTAGAGTCTGTGAAGAAAGACTGAACTTCAAATGCAACCGTTCTGTTTTTCTCGAAGGATTTGTTGTTGTTTTTATCATTTATTCTTCATCTCAGATACATCATTGCAAAGAACGCTCATAATACACCAATAGGTTATTGCCATTATCGCTTCGATATGGATCACGATTCAGCTGTTGTTTATTGGTAATTTGCCGTTTAATTCTTCATCGATTCACTTGAAATTATTTCTGATTTGTTACGATATCTCTGTTTCATATAGTGTTGATGCTGTGTACTCTTGTGTCGTGAAACTGTGGAACGAATGCCTTTATCGTTGTTCAAATTTTAGTTTTGAAATTCAAGTCGAAGAGAAATATCAGTCGCAGGGAATCGGGTCAATAATGATCTCAATGCTGGAATCTCTAGGCAGAAAGTAAGTAGATTAGTGTGTTTGTATCGAGTCGAATTTGGTATTTATTCGAACTTTTTGATCAGATATGGATGATCTGCGTACTAAAATGATAGAATGATTTTGTACTGCTGAAAATTGTCGTAATTGACATTCTTCAGAAC